CACTTTATACTCATTAAGTGCAGCGGCGCTAAGTCATTACTGTAATAAGGAGTTATGCTGAATGCACGGGACCACGTTTCCAAAGCCATAAATTACAACTGTCAGTGCGTATTCGAGGGATCAACAGAGCTGGGAGTAATTATTTACAGCATGCTTTATAGAGCAATTAAAAATTCCCCAAATGGTGTTAATTGCTTTTAACGCTCAGGAAGCGCAGGCCGCCCTTCTCGCGGACCCTGAGCCGGGGAAAAGCGGCCGCCGTCCGTGCGGGCGCGGGCGCGGGCTCAGGCTCGGTGGGAGCTGCGGAAAACGAGATTTCCAGTTGGGAAGCCCTCGTCGCCGCGGGAACCTGGCTGGTTGGTGCGGGGGCCGTCCTGCTTCGCTATCGGAGCGTGTCGCGACACTTGCGGCATAACTAAGTGCGGGCGGCAGTGATGAGGGATAGAGCCCCGACGGCAGCGGAGACCGCGGCTCCTGGTCCAGAGAGAGGCGAGGGAGGCCCGAGGGGGCCGTCTTGGCCCTGGAGCTCTCCCGCCATCCCCTGTGCGCGGCCCGATCCCGCACCGGCGCCTTCGCCGTGATGGATTTCACAGGGGCCGCGACGAGAGAGGGGATGGAGCAGAAAGACGGAAAATACCCGAACTGGGGATGACCCCGGCACAACGAAGCGAGGGACAGAAGGAGTCGGGGTGCACCCTTCTGCTGAGGAGTGTTTGTCGCCGCGCACCTGCCCGCGGCAGAGTCGCTCACTCTCCTTTCAGCGACATAGAGGATTTTATAGGTTCCGGAAAGCACTGTTCGAAGTGCAGTTTTCGGGCCGAGCCCGATGGGCTTTGCTGGGGTATTGCCAAGGTCCCAGACACACCACTTTTGTCCCCTTCCCCTCAGGAGGGCTTGTATTTCGCAGCGGTGTCCCGGCCAGCAGCTGCGAGGCAGAGAGGCAGCTTGTGATGCCAGATTCCCGGGAGTCCCGAGCTGCAAAGGAGCTCAGGGGCCAAGAGGAACCCCGGCAAGAAAGCAAGGCAGAAGAAAAGGGGAGAGGAGGGTGGAGGTCAGTCCCTGGCTAGGCTGCTCCTCTCTGCTAGCAGGAGGCAGATGCACACGATCAATGAAAGAACCTGAGAAAGGATCCCTGGGCACTTCGTGGGGAGGGAGAGCCTTATGCATCAGTAGGAGCCCTCATGTCAATTGTCATTTCCTAGCATGGATGTACTGGGCTCTCAACTCTCATCTGGGGCAGGAATAAAGCACCATTTTGGAAATGTCCCAGCAGCTGTTTGGGGTAGATGAAGGGGGACAAAGATTTCAAGGCTTGCAGGAGTATGTATATGAGCTGTGGATACTTGAGGAGGTGAGATGCTCTGGAGAAGTGGAGACCAAGGATACTGGGCTTCCTTAATGTATGAATTTTGCAGCAATTTAGTGCACTCCTTGTGGACTCTCCTGTTGGGATGTGAACCTGAAAGCACCAAGACTGACCCTGACATGTCTTAGTGTGTGAGCCTGCAGCAATGCCTCTTTAGCCTCAGAATTAGGGAGGCAAAACCCGTATATTAATTGACAGGACATTTCCAGAGCCTTATGCTCTGCAGTACTGCTCAAGCCACAGCCCTGGAGAGCCTAAGGGGAAACTGAGGCCAGGAGCAGTTTGAACTGGAACGTCTGAACGAGGTGTTGTCCTGGAACTCAGATGTGCAGTGCCCAAACTTCCAACGCCAGGAGCTGTGTGGCTTTCTCAAGGATGAAAGTGAAGTCCGGCTTGTGCAGAGAATAAATCCTAGGACTATGCATCATCCTCAAACTCATCAATAATACCCAGAAATGTTGAGTCCCTGTCAGGACATAGCCCTGCTCTTCTCCTTTGTCCTCATTGGGTGCTGGACAGAAGGAATTCTGATTTATGTGTAATTTGTCTCCCGGCAAGTTTTATTGCCCCAAAGCCTCTACCTTGGGTTCAACAGCTGGGGGTTGTGACCCTCACTAACCAGACTGGATCACTGGTGGTGACCTAATGATTTCTCAAGGCCAGCCCCTCTGGGGCCTTTGGCATCTGCTCAGCCTGGGGGATCCCTGGCACAGGGGAGGCCAAGGCTTTTCCTGGCATCAATTGAGGCCTTTGGGATGTGCAAGCAGCATCAGGCAGCTGTGTTATTTACTGGAGGAGGGGCATCTCCTGAGCCTCAGGACCTGGCAGTAGATCTTGGTCCCTCTGGATATCAGAGCTCATTGGCAGGGGACTCTGTGGCACTGTGCAGGACTGGCATGACATGTTTTATTGGTTTCCTGTGGAGACAGCCTGACATGCTCAGGGCAGGTGAGCAGGCTCTGCCCCATATCTCCTGTGTGACACAGGGCAAGAGAAGAAGCTCAGGCGTATCCTGAAGAAGGGGAAAGGCAGCTGCAGTCCTGTGGGACAAGAAGGCCCCCTGCCCGAGGGCAGCCTCCCGGCCCCGACTGGCCCCAGCCCTCACTCCCTCCCTCCTCTCCCAGCTCCTCCTAACCACAAGGACTTTGGTTGATGGAGCTGGCGCCAGCGAGTTCCCTGAAGAGTTCAGAAGTCAAGAACTGAGGCAGGTACTGAGAGGGGGGGGAAACCCGACCCCAGCGGGCAGGCAGGGCTGGGTGGTGGTGGGGGCAGGCTGGCTGGGCACTAACCGGGTATGGGGCAGGGGGGCGGCTGTGGGTTGCTGCTGCCGCCCGCTGTCTCCACAGTCTTCCCGTGTGGGGCTGTGGTGGTGAGTGTGATGATAGTGATGGATCTCGGGGTATCACACCAGGGTTGTGGCTTGAGTGAGGGTGGCAGGAACCCACAAGCACTGGTGTGTCATTGTGTGCGTGTCTGGGGGTGTCTGAACACACAGGAATTGGGGTGTTTTACTGCCTGTTGTGGGAGCGACTGTGGGCGTGAATACTTACAGATGTGAATGTGTGAATGAGAACGTGTGTCAGAACTTGTGTGTGTGCAGGGGGCTGTAAATGTGAGTGTGTGGGAACGTTTGAATAAGTGCACAAATGTAGGTCTGTGTGCAAGAGAATGTGTGGGACTGTGAGCTCAGGAGTGTGTTTGTGAGCTTGTGTGCGACACTGGGAGTGTAAGGATAAGGATGGGATGATAGAACTGATGATGAGTGAGATGTACCTGAGTTCACGGACGTGACTTTCCATGCCAGTGCCACTTGTTTTGCATGGGGGAGACGCCAGAGCAGGCTGTGAAGTCCCCACAGTCCCTTGTGGACAGTAAACCATGGGCACGCTGAAGACGGGAAGGGCAGCATTTGCCCCAGCCAGGGAGGAGGGGGCCTGGAGGGCCGGCCCCAGCCCTTAGCAGGAAGGATAAGGCAGGCAGAACACAAACTACAGGGCGAAACCCTGACTCCGAGGCCGGGAGCCCTGGGTCGCCCTGAGCAGCTCCGGTCAGCAGCAGTGGGAGGACGGATTCAAGGAGACGGAAGTCCCCGGTGTCATCGGCGGCTCTGCCCCCGGCTCGGCTGTGCGGAGCAGGCACCGACGGGCCAGGGCAACAACAAGTTTTAGAGAAATTGCAATAGCAGCTTTAATTTTCATGTAGTTTTAAACTTTTAAAACAATTTTTTGTGTATACACACACACACATGTATATATATTTAATGTTTTTTTTAAACGAAAACACTCATCTCCCCGCGGGCAGGCGCGGGAGGAGATGGCGGCAGCAGACGGCAGGGCCAGCAGTGGCGGGTGCCCCGTCAGCGGTGTCCGCTGCCCCGTGGGCGCAGCTGGGGCCTGACAGCGTCCCGAGGGAACGAACCCCGCCCCGGTTCTCCGGGGGGAGGTGTGCTTCAGGAGCCCCTCGTCTCCTCCCATGGCACCCCTTCCACCGATCCGGGCACTTGTGAGATGCCCTTCTCAACGTCCCTGTGTCTGCTCTGGGGTCTGGTTGTGGGAGAGCCGACTTTTCCGCGGCTTTTTGAAAGGCACTGACTTTTGAAATTGAGAACACCCTCCCAGAACAAAGGGGCACGGCGGGTCTGGGACCTCACCAGAAGGAGATCCTCCGGCTTCAGCCCTCGCTCGGGATGAGCGGCAGCCCTTGGGGATCGCAGCCTACGCTCGGTTCTCTGGCGGGGGCTGGCAGCCAAAATCCCCCTTCCCAGCAGTCTGCGGCCACAAACTCCGGGACTAAATGTCTCCGCTCTGCTGCGCGGTATCAGCCACTCTTTCACTCCCCAGTGCCCTGTGCTCACCCAGCGCTCACTTTATAAGGCCGAGACGGGCGGTGATTTTTTTTTTTTTCCTTTTGCAGTGGGGTGGGGGTGCGAGAGGGGGCTGGGGAAGAAGAAACTCCTCTTGTGTGCTCTTCTCTGCTGTCATTCACTGGGCTGCTCTCAGCATCCAACCAATGGAGAGTGAGGGCCTGCAGCAGTAGGCCCTGGGTAGGGTGATTGATGGGCAAGCGGGGCGGCGGGCGATCGCACTCACAATCCGCCGCGCTCCGCTCCGCGGGGCTCCCGGCTCCCCACCGCCCGCCACAGCGAGGGGTCCCCGGGGCACCCTTGTGTATGTGTGTGTGTCCGTGCGTACGTCTGTGTGTCCTGGGTGATAGGCTCCTGCCGTGTCTTGGTACCTAGGGGTGCTGGGTGTCGTCGGAGAGAGACCAGTGTGCGTGGCTGGGGTGTCGCGTCTCCGCTCCTGGAAGCTGTTGGGTGTGTTGTGTCTCCAGTGTCTGTGTCCTGTGCCGCGCTGGGCACGGCTGTAGCGTCCCGGGCTGCGCGGGTGTTTCACTCTTGTACCTGGGCTGCGCATGGCTGTGCTGGTGTGTCTTCGTGCTGAGCGTGTGGCTGCCGTGTCCCGGCCTTGTGTGGCTCCGCTGGCGTTTCTTGGGGTGCTTTGCCGTCGTGCTATGGGACTGAGCGCGTAGCCGGCGTGCCCCGGCTGTGTGCGGCCCCGTTGCCGGTTTCGGGGCGGTGCGGGGCTGTGCCGCCCTGCCCGGGGTGGAGGTCCGGCCCCGGTGCCCGAGCGGCGGCATGGAGCACCTCGGGGCTCACCACCTGCACCAAGGGCAAGCCGAGCCCATCAGCTTCGGCATCGACCAGATCCTCAACACGTCGGAGCCGGGCAGCTGCATGGTGTCGCACCCGCGGCTGCAGGACTCGGCGGACTACGGGCTGGGCTGCATCGTGGGCAGCGCCTATAACACGGTCACGGGTGGCTACGGGGCGAGCGGCGGCGCGGCCGGCGCCTACACCGGCACCTCCTGCAGCATGGGCGGCCTGCCCGGCTCCTACAACGTGAACATGGCGGTGAGCATGAACGGCAACACCTTGAGCTCGGCCGGCGGGGTGATCCGCGTCCCGGCCCATCGCCCCGTGGCCGGCGGCGTCCACCAGCCCCTCTCCGCCGCCGTGCCGGCAGTGAACGGCATGAACAGTCTCACCGGACTCACCTTCCCCTGGATGGAGAGCAACAGGCGGTACACAAAAGACAGGTTCACAGGTGAGTTGCGCCACCGGGACCCCCCTTCTCTCTCTGCTCCCGCTGCCCCGCTTCCTCCCCCGCTGCCCGGCCTCGGCGCGGCAGCCGCTGCCCACAGGGGCACGCAGAATCCAGCCACGGATCTCTCCGGCCAGGTGGAGAAAGCAGCCGGGATGGTCCTGGGAAGTTGGTCCAGGAGGAGGCCAGGAGCAAGACGGGGTGGGAAATGAGGCGTACTCAGTCCCCCTAAATGAGTTGTGTTTCCTTTTGTTTGTTTGTTTTGATATTTTGTTTGGTTTGATTGTTTGTATATGTGGGATGGTTTTCTTTTGTTATTGTTTTAATTACTTTTAATTTATTTACATATTAGTTTGGTGTAGGTTTTTTACATTTCTTTTTTTTTTATCTTTTCCTCCCGATACGGGTCGGAAAAGGCGGGCAAGGAGGAAAACTCACACGACCTCCCGCGAGCCTCGGGTACGGCTGCCCAATCCCTGCCGCCCGAGCCAACACCAGGGGAAAGGTTCCTTCAAAACCCAGAGTTATTTGGGAAGCACGGCCCGGCCGGCGGGAAGGCAGACAGGCGGTCCCGGCCCTGGCCTGCTCGGGAAGGCCGTCCCGTTGCTTTCCTTGACCGGACTGGCTTTCCCCGGCTGCAGGTTTCGACTCAGCCTTTTTCCCCACCAAAAGGGACTTTTTGCAGACCCGAGCAGAGTGAGGCTCGGGCTAGACCCGCTTCCTGGCCTCGCCACCGTTTCCAGGTGGAGCTGGACTTGTCTTTCGGCACTAACAAAGCAAAAACGTGATGAACGAAAAGAAATAAATAAAAAAGACGCAAACAAACAAACAAAAGGAACGAAATTACAGCAGGGAAATATCAGCGCCTCTTCCCGAGGGAGGAAACCGAGGCCAAATTTTTGAAAGTTCCCGTTTAATTTTGACCCGATGGCGCTGGGTTCTGGCACGGCCGCGGGTGGACGAACGGGCTGTTCCCCTGGCAAGCACCTGACTGGATTTAACTCAATTCCTTCCTGGCTTAGACAAAATGTGACTTTTCACTAATTATTTTTGTGGGGTTGGAAAAAAAAACCCAACAAAACAACGCAAACAAAACCATATATATTTAAAACAAAATAAAAAAGGAGCAATCGCACAAAACAACAAATCCCAACTCCGGTTTCCAGTCCGGGACTTTACTTCCCGTGTACGAGGCACTGGGGCCGGGGCCCATGGGGTTACCGCCGTGCCTAAACGAAATTATCCCGAGCCCGCTTGGCACTGAGCGCGGAGCCCCGGCCCGGCGCCAGGACCGGCTGTCGCTGCTGTCCCCCTGTTCCCCGGTAGACACTTGGCCGGGCGAGCGGCCACCTTCCCCTCCGCCGGAGCCGAGTGGTGCCCGGCGGGTGCCCGCAGCACCCAAGGAAGGCCGCAGGGCCTTCCCGGTACGCGGGGCAGCCGCCGAGTTTCTGCAGCTCGTACGTGGGTGTCGGCGGGGAAGCCGCGGCTTTGGAGCGGTGGGGGGTGGTCCCCAGCCCAGCGGCCGGGAGCCAGAGCCCCTCTGCTGATGTGTCGCTGCTTGCTTCTTTGCCTCTCATCCCCCCTCCTCCCGTGTCCCCCCCAGTGGCCCTCTCACCCTTCACTGTAACACGCCGTATAGGTCACCCCTACCAGAACCGCACGCCCCCCAAGAAGAAGAAGCCGCGCACCTCCTTCACCCGCCTGCAGATTTGCGAGCTGGAGAAGCGCTTCCATCGGCAGAAATACCTGGCCTCGGCCGAGCGCGCTGCCCTGGCCAAGGCTCTCAAGATGACGGACGCCCAAGTGAAGACCTGGTTCCAGAACCGGCGCACCAAGTGGAGGTGAGGGGCCGGGGGTCCCGGTGGGGCAGTCTGGGGGGGACAGACTTCGCTGCCAGCAGCTCTGCAGGAGCATTGATGGCGGCGCAGAGGTGTGCAAGCCCCGTGTGTGTGTGAATGTGCCCGTGCGTGTGCATGCACAGCGGTGTGTGTGTGTGTGCATGTGGTGTGTGCACACCTGCGGAAGTGTGTGCAAGCAGGACACGCGGGTGTAATGTACGGTCAGTGTGAGGGCCACGCGTGCCCGTGTTGTGTTCCTGCAGTGTGTGTGTGCGTGTCAGCGTGCACGGGGCTGTGAGAGCAAAACGCAGCTCCCCGAGTGTGGCGTGATGCGGGCCGTGTATTACACGGTGTGTGCACACCGGACCTGCGTGCAAAAACGTGTGTGGGTGTGCCACGGGGGTGAATGTGTGTGTTTACACGCGTGTGTCAGTGTCACCAGAGGGTGCGGAGGCTCCCGCGCCTCTGTCCGCGGCAGTAGCTTGTGGGAGCCCCCGGCCCGGGGCTGTCCGAGTACCGCGCTCTGCTCAGCGCGGAGATTTTGGTCCCCGCGGGCTTCGCGGCGCCTCCTCGCCCAAACGCTTTCTTTTTGTTCTGCTGTCGGGCGTGCCGGTAGAGCCGGAGAGGAAGAGAAGGCTGGGCTCACACGGAGCCTCCAGGGCTCCATTGCAGTGACCCAGCCCCTCCCAAGCTGCACGTCTCGGGATGTTCCCGAGGGAAGCACCCCAGCCCTGAGAACGACCCCTGCCCTGGGCTGGGGACAAGCCTCCTGCGGGGACGGAAAGTGATGGGCAAGGGGGAGCTCCCTCAGAGAGCAGAGAAGGTGGGTCCTGAGCTGCTGGGTGCTGAGCACTGAGTGCCGGAGGGCAGGCAGCTTCTTCAAAATGGGGGAAAGGGCTTCCCCAAAATCTTCCCCAGGGTTAGTAGGACAGCGATTGCCTGAGTATGCTGGGGTTGGGTAAGAAATGTGGGTTAAGGAACTTTAAACCAAGGGGTTGTGTGAATCTTCTACCACAGCGAGTTCTTCCCCAGAAAATCCATGGTAGTGCAATTCCCCAAATGTTAGGAAGTCTCTAGCTGGAGTGATCTCTGTTGGCCAGAAAGAGAATCCTGGAGGAGGAACAGTCCTGCTGTGGCCTGCAAAACGGGGTCAACTGTGTCTTCTAACCAGGTTTCCTAAGGAAGTGAGGCAAATCCATCTGTCAATACCCTTTGCGTCTGTTGGCTAAATTCAGCCTCTTTTGGCAGAGGTGCAGAGGATACAAACCTATTCACGTGTTTTACAAAAAATAGCTGGGTAAAGAGAAACAAAATCCTGCTTCTGCCTTAGGGAAAGGCTGCAGCTAGACCTCAGCTGTAATATTAGACATGGGAGAATCTCTGGCCTGAGCCAGAGGGACACAGGCATGTAAGTTCTGTCTGTATGTGCCTGCTGGGTGTTGCAATGGAGATGTGGGTGCCCCTGGCTGATAGCACACCCAGCTTGCTGCCTCAGGCCCTGCACTGGGCAGTGAGCTCTGAGTGGTTCCTAGAGCACTGAGAGCTGGAAGGAGCTGCTGCAGGCCTGAATGAGGCAGTGGGAAGTATTCAAGAAAAGAGAGTTGCTATAAGCCCTCTGAACAATTTAACTGCTTGAATGCAGACTCGGGGAAGAGTCTTGCCCCTGCCCCTTGCCTGGTTGTCTCTGCTGGAGTGAGGTGGCTGTGTGAACCCCTCTTCAGATTTGGGCTCTTGCTTTAGACACAGCTCTTTCCAGGCAATCCTGTTCCAATGTGAATCCATGACTAGAGCAGCTGCTTGCAGCAGGGAGACATTTAGGAGCAAGGTGCTCACAGCTGTGGTATTCCTGGTCACCCTGGACTTGGGGCTCCCTCCCTCCTCCTGGAGTATTGTGCAGGGAGTCATTAAATATTCATTGAGGCAAGAGACTGAGCTGCTCCCCTGGCTGGTGCAGCTCTGAGCCCATTCTTCCCAAGATGTCTGACGTGAGATGTTGACACAGTGATTAGAGCAGGGACTGAGCCCTGAACTACCAGGTCCCAGGAAGGAACACTGGCCACACGTCTGGAGGCTTGGGTGCCCAGGGGCCTCTTGCTAGCATCCAAGCCCCAGCCTGCTTCCCCATTGGGAGCCAGGGACTCTCTGCCCTGTGCTGTGAGATGTCACTGTGGAGATCAGAGATGCCACTTCCAATTCCCATGGCCAAAGAGGATGAGACACCTCACATCCTTCTGAGTTGCTAAATTAAAAAGCTGCCATTTCCTGTGTTACTGGTCCACTGAAACTGCTGAGAGGATGTCAGCTGAGCCTGGGGATGTGAGGGAGGGAGAGGATGCTTTGGGAATCATCCTGGGACCAGCATTGTGGGTTGCTCCCAGGTTTTCCCAGCAACATCAGTAGAAGTGCCAGATGAAGTAGAGGTGAGTGCAAGCTGCAGACTTTAGGCTGACCTGCCATCCAAGCAAGCAGGAGCGGGGTTTCTGTTCTGGCTATAAAGGATTCAGGCTATTTCTACTCATCCCATTCTCTGCTCCCAGACTCCCAGAGCCAGGACCCAACCACAACTGGAATGACCCCCTAACCCCTTCTGACCCCCTAACATCGTCTCCTTGGGGATCACCTCTGCTGGTGTCATACCAGGCAGACACGTCCAAACTGCTCTGAAGAACATTGTCATCCACCCTTTCCAGATAGTATATTCTGTGCTTTGATTTTTCTTCCTGCTAAAAAATGTGTTTCTAGTGTTTAGCTGAAATTTTGCTGCCTGCCATGGGAATGTTTTTGCCTTCATCCAAGCTCACACAGCTGGTCGCCGCAGTGTGGCAGACAAGATGGCAAACCTGGATGCTGGAAGGGGATGTGCAGGGTGATACTGCCCATCTCCCAGCTGTGTGGCACTGCCAGTCACTGTCTCACCCCATCCTGCTCCATGCTTCTTCCTGGGACTTTGCATGCTTGGCTCTTGCTGTCAGATCAGAGCACGTTTTCAGGGGATGGCACCTTTTGCAATGCTGTTGTGTGACACTTTGGGTATTTTGTCTCTGTTTCTTTTTTTCTGTGGGCAGAGTAATCCAGAACTGTGGGCTGCTCCCAGCTCTCTTTGATCAGAGCAATTTTTGCTGAGGCCAGTAAGACAGATAGACCCAGTCCCCAGTTTATGGGATTTACTGGCCGTTTGTGTAGGGGATGTGGGACCATGCCATGGCAAGGCACCCTCTTTTCCTACCCCCGCCCTCCCACATAATGAGCACCCAGCACAACTTAATCTCTCTGGAGATACCCTCCCTTTGCTTACCCTAAAGGCTCCCTCTCTCCTAGGAGGCAGACAGCAGAGGAGCGGGAGGCTGAGCGGCAGCAAGCAAACCGCATCCTCATGCAGTTGCAGCAAGAAGCCTTCCAAAAAACCATCAACCAGCCCATCCAAGCCGACCCCATCTGCGTCCACAACTCGTCTCTCTTCGCCCTCCAGAATCTCCAGCCTTGGTCTGATGACTCCACCAAGATCACCAGTGTCACCACTGTCGCCTCTGCTTGTGAATAAGTCTGGCACCCACTGGTGGCACCTACACCTTCTGCTGGCGGGGCTGTCCCCAGGGGGACACGAGGCATCCTTGGTGGGACATGTAGCAACTCTGTTTCTCCCTGAGAAGGTCTGGAACCCCCTGATCCTCTGGCCACATCCATCCTATATATCCAGCTGGGAAAACCCTCCACAAGGAACAAAGAAAGGAAAGCCACCCCAAAAACTCTCCCCAGCTATGGAGTTGCTGGACCAGCAATGCTGTCTCACCTCCCCCCAACCCCTTTGTTCTCTTGAAAGTCTCCAGTGTCGACCCTGAACTTGCTGACGTACTACCAGACAAAAGCGCAGCCCTGACAGACACAGCCGTCGGTGTTCATCCAGCTGGGGCAGAGGAAAACTTCCTTAGGATTCTACTGGCTGCAGTGCAAAGTCTATGTACACTTTTATATATCCATATATATATATTCCTATATATATATATGTATATGTATGTTTTGAACTGATGGCTTGAAAGAAAAGGAGGAGGCTCCCTGGGAAGCACGTCTCTGCTGTGAGCCTTCCTGGGTTGTCCGCACCGGAGACGTTCGGGGATGCAACAAATGGAGGAAACAGCAGCAATTTCTGCTTGTGCCAGATGGGAACCCTTCAGATTTCACCTCGCTGTCTCTCCTCCCCTTTTTCATTAATTTTTTCTTGTGAGGGGGGAACAAGAGAAGGATCTGACAGACTCCTGAGGACGGTAAATATGATATCTCAATTGTATGAAGAGCCCAAACAGTCCCTGGCTGCCACGGACTCTGTGCCCATCAGCGAGTATTTTAATAACGAGAAGACTTGGGTGGCAGTTTGTGGGGGTAATGCAGTTTCTTTCCGTGGAATATTTCCATATAATTTGCAAAATGTTGTCCAATGTTTTATTTTATCAGTTTCATGTTAGAAGGCAGTTCCTGACAGCAAAAATCTGATTTCATTCTCAGCTGTTTAACTTAGTGTTCTTTTAATTGTACCAAGAGAATGAGACACAATTAAACAAAGCACTTCTAGCAAATGCCAGGAATATATAGATATATATATATAAACAGTATATATTTTTCAGTTACTTATAATCTAAAACAACGCTGCCAATTTAAGCAGCTAGTACAAACAAGCAACCAGAAAACCTATTTTCAGTGAGATTTTAAAAAGCATTCGTTTGTTTGCTTTTTTTTGTTTTCTTTTTTTTTAAGTTATGCACTTACAAGGTGTTTTATGTGTATTCATTTTATAAAGTGCTTGTGTAATTTATGTGGAAATGAAAAAGAAAATAAAAAAATCTCCAGGGTACTGAATAAATCATTTAAAGCCTTGCTGTTCCCTGTCTATTAGTTCCCCAAGAGGAGACAGCATATCACAACTACTGCTGAAGACTGTGCTATTTTTTTTTTAATGAAAATAGAGTTAGCATTTCCATTTGACTTTGCTCAGGTCCACTTGGCTTTGGAAGCTCCAGCTGTAATATGCTGTGTTTTAATCCCTTGTCCTATAAACATTTTCAGGCTTCAACCCAGCAGTGCATTTAGCGCTTGCTTTAATTGAAGCCTTTCTGGGGGGCTTGCTGGGGGTGGCAGGGACTCAGCCTTAAACTCATGTGGAATGATTTCTTGAAGAAGACCTTGGAATGAGGTCTCACCTGGGCTGAGGCAGATCTACAGATATTTGTGTCTGAAACTGAATACGGAAAAGGGAATTTGAATATGAAGAAACATGCAAAAGTACATTTTAGAGACAATCTTGCAGGAGATTATTCTGGGGACAATGTTTTCCATTCGTACTGAGCCTTGCTGCAGGATTTGTCTCCAGCTTGGCAAACCCTTCTCAGAGGAAAATCGAACCGGTGGGAAAACTCACATCAGCTTCCTTGGGAGAGACTCCCAGCCCTGTGGCTGGTGTTTCCTTCCAGCACTGGGAATTACTGAGTAAAGGGTGTTGGAGCATAGACTGAGAAACGCAGGCAACCACGAGCGGTGCAGGGACCCCCTGACATGGCCCTGGGGTCCAGGCTGCCTGGGGGACATCTGCAACAAAATACCCCAGACTTTTCATGCCTGGTGGGTGACAGTGCTCCGGGAGGCTCCTCTGGGTGCAGCGTTGTTGGGGAGTTCAAGGGAGCACATGAATAGCCCGCCTCATCCAAAATCCGCTATTGTATGACTGGGCTAGGAATTTATGGTGCTGCAGGATTTTCCCATTCTGCAGTGCAATGTGTACGAGAACACAGACAAACATCTGCAGCAAGGGAAAGAAAAGAAGCCAGAAAAAGAAAAAATTGATAAAACACAGGAAAATATGAAACTCGGAGAACAAGCATTTTGGAAATATCTTTAAGAGATGATACTAAAATAAAACAATTTGTATTTTTTCCAACATAGATTTCAGGGAAGTCTTTTGTTTGAATTCTGTTTCATACTTCAGTCAGAATTTTTTATTCTGGTTAAGCTTATTATTTAAGATGCACCCAACTTTGTCTACAAAGTTAAACTCCTTCAGGAGACATTGCTGTGTACAAATCTTTACAGTTTACAGTTTGTTGCAGTGTATATTTTTGTTTTCAGGGTTTCTGCATAGGAAAAAGCAACAGTCATAAAATAATAATAATAATAACAATAATAATAATAATAATAATAATAGGACTCACTGTTGATATTAAAACTGTTTTTTATTTTATTATTATTTTATTATTATGACACTTCAATTGTAAAATTTAATTCTAGGACAACGATTTTATAATATCCACTTTATTCAATTCATAATCCAAAATGTTCCCCAGTGAAGTTGAACACATTATAATGTGCATTCGAGGGAATATGTTTAGATAGAAAATTTAACTATATCTTGTTTTCAAAACTGGTGACTTTCCCTTTTTCTCATCAATCTTTCCTGTAAAAAAAAAAAAAGACCAAAAATAAGAAAGGAATCTCAATATGAAATGAGACTATATGTTACATTAGAACCAGAAAAACTGTTTCCTGGTTTTTCTTGTCCCTAGAAAAATTGCTTCTGGAGGGGTTTTCTCTTAAAATATTTCTCTTGGATTCATTTTAAAAATTGGTTTAGTGGCAGAAGGTGTTTTTGATATCTGCATATGCGCTTCCAGTTATTAATATGATGATTTGTACCTAGACAATAAAAGTTGTCTGAAATATGACGGAATTAAATCAATAAGTAATGACATGAAACAATGACACATAATGTTATGTTTTGTAGACTGACATCACCTCAGCTGTATCCTGGGGCCATCCATATCACATTGAAGGCTGATTTAATTTTTTGTATTATACTTATTTGGGAGCAGGAGTAAAATTGCATTAAGATGCCTTGAAAGTCATTTCCCCGTTCCTTCGCTCTCAAAATAAAGCAAATCCCAAATACGAAATGGGAGTCGGAGAAATGTTTTTCTACTGCTTGTCTGTATCTAGGAAATGCAGAGCAAAGTAGAGTGAGTTTGGTCTGGAAGGGAAAAGCTTGTGTGATGCCTGGAGCTGCAGGCACAGGACATGGCAGGGGACAGCACTGTGACTGTGCTCATCTCTCTCACCAACAGCACTGCCAGGGATCAAGAGCCATCATTCCTTTGGGTTGGATGTGCTGAGCTTTTGAAGGTGAAATCTGGAGGGGGGGGAAACACTGTCTTTGCATGAGCAACTGGAGTATTAAACATCTGTGTGGAGCTGGAGGAGACGAAGCCCTATGGGAGGGGCTGTGGTTGTCTGGGTTTGGTCCCAGCTCAGCAAGCTACGAGGGCAGAAGGGAAACAGAGGTCTGGCCCCATTTAGCCAATTAGATGAGCACATGAGTCATCCAAACAAGGATCAGTTGGTTTATCTCTGCTGAGGGATGGCCCAGGAAAAGGCTGATGGGTCTTTGCTGGAGCCTTCCACCTTGAGCAGAGCTGTATTGTGCTCTGCAGGGGCCAGCCCACTGGATCCCTGCAGTACATGCACACCCAGTTCTGCATGGGTACCTTTTTCTTGGGCTGCATTGCCCCATCTGCGGGGCATTTGTTATATATTTAAAGTTATTTCTGCTGCAGCAGCAGCAGCATCAGTGAGAGTTACCTGTATGTAGCATTTGCTGGAGAAAAACTGAGGTGAGCCTACTTGTCCTCTAATATGGTTTGTATAATTGATAATGAAAGGAGGCACTGACCCCACAAACACCCAAATGTGGGATCATTTTCATTACCTCACTAAGACTGTTGATTGGTGTTTTTGAATGTGCTCCTGATTAACCAAGACACTAAAAAAAAAAGCTTAAAGCCGGGGCTGCTGCCTCAGCACGGCGGCAGCAGGAGCCCATCCCTGCGGAGGCAGCCCCTCCTCGCAGCCAAGGCCAGCTCACACACACAGGGCTAGATGGGATGAAAAACCCAAACCAATTCCCTGACAAAACTGAAAATGGCTTTGCTAAAAACTGTTTGGGTTATAGTAAAAAGCCATTCCTCTCTGGGGTTCTGGGACAGCTGGAACTTTTTGAATCAACCTTTTTTTTCCCCTTGCGAGAAGCAGACTGACTGAATGACACTGATTTCTTTGTGCAGCGGTCAGCTTTGATGACCACTTGTTTAAAAAACGTGAAATAACATTATCAAATTATCCTGGCTGAAAATTTTCTAAATTAGGTGCTCTTAAATTTGGGGAAAAAAAAGTAGGTTTTTAAAAACAAATATTAAGGGAAGAAAAAGCACACAAAGCTATAGATTATCAGAATAAACTTTTGTTGGAGTCACGCCAGATTGTTTTTTACAGATCTTTTGTTTGTGCAGCTAGATGTGATTTTGATGTTCCTTAAATTATTGTTATTGCCTCTGTTACAGTAGGAAATTTGTTTGATGGGTCAGCACTTATCCAAGATTACGATAGATATTCCTTTCCACTAATCGGAAACTCTTTGTTACTGGTAGTTTAAAATTAATTCTATACATTTATTCAACTCACACCTAAAACTGTATTTAAGGAGTTGTGTTAGTTTTTGTTTGTTTGGTTTTTTTTCTGACAGCACCAGAATAATCTTGATTTTTCTAAGTGTAAAAAATAATTTTTGGCTTCCTTCTGTTTTTGTTTGGGTTTGCTTTTTTGTTGCTGTTGTTGCAGCTAGCTGTGTTAAGCGC